ATGGCTCTAATCGCACCGCATACAAATCGCATTGTGATTTGTACAAGATGCGGTGCGGTTCCTGTGTGAATCACATGGGATTTACCACACCGCTGTAGTGTGAACCTAGGCTAAAAGCAAAATGAAACCTCTGCAAAAATAAATAAATAAATAAAAAACGGGTCACCAGGAACTTTTAGCCCTAATGTGCTTGTATGTATAGCAGTTAGCACAGTATGGCAGACTTACCTTGGAAATGACCCTCTTCCCTCTCAGTGTTAGCATTCCTGTCGGTCACAGAGGATTCATCTTCTGCTCTTACTTCTGGATTGTGCCATAAACCCCAATGGGGTTGATTTACTAAAGGAAAACTGCACTCTGGAGGTAAAGTTGTTCTAGAGCTTAGTAAGAGTGAGGCAAAAGCTCTGTTGACTTCCATCATCCAATCATGTGCAAGCAAAAATGCAGCTTTTTTTTTTTTCCTGGCAGGTTACATAGTTAGTCTGGCTGAAAAAAAACAAAACAAAAAGTCCATCCAGTTCAACCATAAAAAGAAAAAAAAAAGTTATAATCCTATACCCACAGTTGATCCAGAGGACGGCAAAAAACTCAGCAAAGCATGATCCAATTTGTTCCTGCAGGGAAAACATTCCTTCCTGATCCCCCCGAGAGGCAATCGGATATTCCCTGGATCAACTTTACCTATAAATGTTCAGTAATATTCTGTGTATCCAAGAAAGAATCCAGGACTTTTCTACAGCAATCCACGAGTGCTGGTCAGAACCAACTCTTGAGGGAGTCTATTCCTTCATTTTCACAGCTCTCACTGTGAAGAAACCTTTCCGTTTGGAGATTACATTTATTTTCCTCCAGACGTAAGAGCCCCCCATGTCCTCTGTGATGACCTCAGGGGGAATAACTCTACACCGAGTTCACTATATGAACCACTGATGTATGGATCTGGCAGAAATCTTCCTCAATGTGCCTTTATCTGCACCAACCCGTCTGTGCTCTGAATCAGCCACAAATCTCTTCATAGTGCGATGATCACGCTTACGTTTTTGTGAAATATCTAATGTTTTCATACCTCGTCCAAGGCATTGAACTATTTCACTCTTTTCGGCAGCAGAGAGATCCTTTTTCTTCCCCATATTGCTTGAAAATGGTGCTCTGCTTAATAATGTGGAACACCCTCCTTTAGTAGTTTTTTCCTGAAATTGGGCTCACCGGCCTATCTAATTATCACAGGTGTCCGAGATTGTTTTCAGTGATCAAAAGAGCCCTGACACACAATGCCATCCATGAGTTATGCAGGCCATAGACGGGGAGAAAAACAGCCGATTTTTCTTTTAAAAAAAACGGAAAAATTGGTCGTTTTCAAGCGGCCGACGTTACCAGCAATGGTAAAAAAAAAAATCGGCCGATTTTCATCCCGTTCTACAGCCGGCAAAAAAAGTGTCCCTGCAGAGAGCTCCGCTATTTCTTTGACAGTTTCTTGACATTTATTGCGGTTGCAACAATGTATCTATTTGTTTCCATTAGGATACAGCTGTTTTTATTCGGAAACAAATAGATACATTGTTGCAACGCTGTAAATGTCAAGGAACTGTCAATCAAATAGCGGAGCTCTCTGCAGGGACACTTTTTGCTGGACTGGAATTCCTCTTATTTTTCATCCTACTTCTTCTTCTTCTTCTCAAATCATCCTCTTCTTCCTCTTTTTCTCCTTCTTCTTCTTCATCATCATCCTCCAATCTTCTTATTCATCATCATCTTCTTCTTCTTCATCATCATACCTTCTTCTTTTCTTCTTCATCATCCTCTTCTTCTTCATCATCATCATCATCCTCTTCTTCTTCTTCTTCTTCATCATCCCTCTTCTTCTTCTTCATCATCCTCTTCTTCTTCTTCATCATCATCCTCCTTTCTCTTCTTCTTCATCATCCTCTTCTTTTCTTCTTCTTCATCAGCAGCATCATCATCTTCTTCTTCTTCAATCATCATCCTCTTCTTCATCATCATCATCATCATCCTCTTCTTCTTCATCATCATCATCCTCTTCTTCTTCTTCTTCATCATCATCCTCATCGTCTTCTTCTTCTTCATCATCATCATTCCTCTTCTTCTTGATCCCTCATCCCTCTTCTTCTTCATCATCCTCTTTTCTCCTCTTCTTCATCATCCTCCTTTATCTTCTTCTTCCTCTTCTTCTTTTTCTTCTTTTTGTCTTCCTCTTGCAGGTCACTGCTCATGCGCACGATTTTTTTATCGGTTATCGGAAAAAAATCGGCCGATTTGCCCATCATTGTCGCGAAAATCGGCCGATCGGCAAAATCGGCCGATTATTTTTCCAACTTTTAACGGTAAAAAAAATGTGCCAAAATACCGGTAAAAAAAAATGTGCCAAAATACCGATAAAATGGCCGAACAAATAGCCCACTAACGATCCGAAAATCGGCCGGTTTTTATTTTCGGCTGAAAAAATCGTGGCCGATTTTCGACCCATTATGGCCTGCATTACACTAAAAAAAAACAAAATATTTAATCTTTGTGACACCTAAATAGAATTTGTATAATAATTTGGAACACAGGGTGAATATACATATACACACGGTGGAGAAAAAAATTATTTGATCTTCATATTACTTGATATACAGTTGCAAGAAAAAGTATTGTGAACCCCTTGGATTTACGTGGAGTTTTGCATGAATTTGGGCATAAAAATGTGCTCTGAACGTCATCTAAGTCACAACAATAGAAAGAACACAGTCTGCTGAACATAATACTACTACACAAACATTAGATGTTGCCATGGTTTAATTGCACATAACATGTAAACATTTCACAGTGCAGGGGAGGAAAAAGTATGTGAGGCCCCGAGCTTAATGACTTCTCCCAGAGCTAATGGAGCCAGGAGTGAGACCCAACCTTGACTCCAATCAGTGTGATGATAATTGGATGTGTTGCTGACAGCCTGTCCTGCCCTTAAAAAACACCACACACCTGATTTGGGGTTTACTGGTTTCAAGAAGCACGTCTGATGTGAACCATGCCTCGCAGAAAAGAGCTCTCAGAAGACCTAGACGGTCAAGAATTTTTGACTTGCATGAAGCTGGAAAGGGTTACAAAAGTATCTCCAAAAGCCTTGATGTACATGTGTCCACGGTAAGACAGACCTGCCTACAAATGGAGAAAGTTTAGCACTGTTAATACTACTCTCACCTAGGCGTGGCTGTCCTGTAAAAATGACTGCAAGAGCCCCAGCGCAGAATGCTGCATGAGTAAAGAAGAATCCCAGAGTGTCAGCTAAAGACCTACAGAAATCTCTGGCACATGCTAACATTTTTGTTGACACATTTACAATAAGGAAAACATTAAACAAGAATGGAGTACATGGGAGGACACCACGGAGGAAGCCATTGCTGTCCAAAAAGAATATTGCAGCACGTTTGAAGTTTGCAAAAGAGCACCTGGATGTTCCACAGCACTACTGGCAAAATATACTGTGGAAGATGAAACCAAGATTGAGTTGTTTGGGAAGAACACACAACACTATGTGTGGAGAAAAAAATGGCACAGCACACCAACATCAAAACCTCATCCCCACTGTGAAACATGGCGGAGGGAGCATCATGGTTTGGGGCTGCTTGCTGCCTCAGGGCCTGGACGGATTGTTGTCATTGATGGGAAAATGAATTCCAGAGTTTATCAAGACATTTGCAGGTAAAACGTACGACCATCTGTCCGCCAACTGAAGCTCCGCAGAGGATGGGTGATGCAACAGGACAATGACCCAAAGCATACAAGTAATTCAACAAAACAATGGCTGCAACAGCATAGAATACGCCTTCTGGAGTGGCCCAGTCAGAGTCCTGACCTCAACCCGATTGAAATGCTGTGGCATGACCTTAAGAGAGCGATTCACACCAGACATTCCCAAGAATATTGCTACACTGAAACAGTTTTGTGAAGAGGAGTGGTCCAAAATGACTCCAGATCATTGTGCAGGGTCTGATCTGCAACTACAGGAAACGTTTGGTTGAGGTTATTGCTGCCAAAGGAGGGTCAACCATTATTAAGTCCAAAGGTTCACATACTTCATACTTTTTCTTGCAACTGTAATTTGAGAGAGATATATATATATATATACACAGATATATGGCATGCATAAAATGTTTAAAACATATTCTTATAACCGCCTATACATATAAAGCAGAATGAATTTACATAGGAGACCATTATAGATTCCCTTAACGAGATTGTATGTGAAAATGGTAGCTGGCCCCCCTGACAGCAGGTGCTGTGTATGGTGATTGTGCGGAAGTGCAGGTGCTTCCTGACTTGTATACTATGAGCTGTCACTAGTGTACTGGGGGTCATTTCTGTTCATTTCTAGTACAGATAGGCTCTGTTTATACTCTTCACTCAGGAAGTGATGACTCTTCAGTGTGTTCTCTGTGGTTTTCATAACATTTGATGAGGGCATATACACTAGAGCTGAACCCCGGACAAAAATCTAAATAAACAGATAAAAGATTTGTTTAGCCTGTCAAAGGATTTGTATTTGACTATCCTATCCTGGAATTTTACCAGTTCTGTAACATAGCACATCCCTTTTTGGCAGGCCTAATGCCTGTTACATATATGATGAGAAAATCAGACAAAAAATACCACTTTTCAAGCAATCGTCCTAATACACAGCTTTCAAGAGCCGATCACAACAGTTCATGCGAAATTATCAGAAGGGAAAAGCATGGAAATTTTTCTCGCACAGTACCAGAACAAACGATTTTCGTGAAATAAATCCAGTGACCAAGGCCGCACATGCTCAGAAACAAAAGAATACATTACGATACAGTACAATACATTACATCATTTCCAAAGTTGTATCCTGTCGTATGAGAATTTTCGGAACTTTAGGTAGCTCTTAATTTTTTATCATGCAAAAAAAAAAAACGGACGAACAATTGTCTGATATTCTCATTTTATGTATGAGGCATAAAGTGTCACTAAACTCCTGACCGTGCATTCACTATATCTGGTCTCCCCCGGACCCTGCATTCACTATATCTGTTCTCCCCAGACCCTGCATTCACTATATCTGTTCTCCCCGGACCCTGCATTCACTATATCCGCTCTCCCCGGACCCCGCATTCACTATATCCGCTCTCTCCCGGACCCTGCATTCACTATATCCGGTCTCCCCGGACCCCGCATTCACTATATCCGGTCTCCCCAGACCCTGCATTCACTATATCCGGTCTCCCTGGACCCTGCATTCACTATATCCGCTCTCCCTGGACCCTGCATTCACTATATCTGGTGTCCCCGGACCCTGCATTCACTATATCTGTTCTCCCCGGACCCCGCATTCACTATATCTGTTCTCCCCAGACCCCTGCATTCACTATATCTGTTCTCCCCGGACCCTGCATTCACTATATCCGCTCTCCCCGGACCCTGCATTCACTATATCCGGTCTCCCAGGACCCTGCATTCACTATATCTGGTCTCCCCGGACCCTGCATTCACTATATCTGGTCTCCCCGGACCCTGCATTCACTATATCTGTTCTCCCCGGACCCTGCATTCACTATATCCGCTCTCCCGGACCCTGCATTCACTATATCCGCTCTCCCCCGGACCCTGCATTCACTATATCCGCTCTCCCTGGACCCTGCATTCGCTATATACGGTCTCCCTGGACCCTGCATTCACTATATCCGCTCTCCCCAGACCCTGCATTCACTATATCCGCTCTCCCCAGACCCTGCATTCACTAAATCCAGTCTCCCCGGACCCTGCATTCACTATATCCGCTCTCCCCGGACCCTGCATTCACTATATCCGCTCTCCCCGGACCCTACATTCACTATATCCGGTCTCCCTGGACCCTGCATTCACTACATCTGCTCTCCCCAGACCCTGCATTCACTATATCCGGTCTCCCCGGACCCTGCATTCACTATATCCAGTCTCCCCGGACCCTGCATTCACTATATCCAGTCTCCCCCGGACCCTGCATTCACTATATCTGGTCTCCCCCGGACCCCGCATTCCCGATATCTGGTCTCCCCGGACCCTGCATTCACTATATCCACTCTCCCCGGACCCTGCATTCACTATATCCGCTCTCCCCAGACCCTGCATTCACTATATACTGTCTCCCAGGACCCTGCATTCACTATATCCGCTCTCCCCAGACCCTGCATTCACTATATCCGGTCTCCCCGGACCCTGCATTCACTATATACTGTCTCCCAGGACCCTGCATTCACTATATCCGGTCTCCCCGTACCCTGCATTCACTATATCCGGTCTCCCCGGACCCTGCATTCACTATATCTGGTCTCCCCGGACAATGCATTCACTATATCCGGTCTCCCTGGACCCTGCATTCACTATATCCGGTCTCCCTGGACCCTGCATTCACTATATCCGCTCTCCCCGGACCCTGCATTCACTATACCTGCTCTCCCCGGACCCTGCATTCACTATATCTGGTCTCCCCGGACCCTGCATTCACTATATCTGGTCTCCCCGGACCCTGCATTCACTATATCCGCTCTCTCCGGACCCTGCATTCACTATATCTGCTCTCCCTGGACCCGGCATTCACTATATCCGGTCTCCCTGGACCCTGCATTCACTATATCTGATCTTCCCGGACCCTGCATTCACTATATTTGGTCTCCCACAGTACACAAAACATGGAAATGCAATTACTTTAGTAAATATAAACTGCTAAATACCTTTTCTCATCAGCAGTATAGCGCAGCACTGGTTAATTTGTAGGAGGAGTTTCATTCTCCTTTGGCTATCCTATAAGGCTGCCTGACCCTCTGTCTGGAAAGTGCTGATTGGCTCTGTGCTGATCACATGCATCCTCCCAAAAAAAAAAATTTCTTTAACAATCCTCATCAAATTGAGCATGTGCAGAATGCCTTCTAAGGCTCTCTACTATCAGCAGATGGATTGGGGACAGTAAAAGAAGGGGAGGATCAAAGAAGTCAGGATCAAACAGCCTTTTTACACAGTGCAGAGGATTAACCCCTTAGGTTCCACAGTGAGTATAACAAACATGCTTTACTGCATATACAGACTGATTGCACTGTTGTGGGTTTAGGAACACTTTAGGAGACCTGATTTTCCTCTGCTGCAGTTCAGTAAGAATTCTTCTTCATCTGTCACAAAGGTGCAGGACCCTTTTTTTGGTCCGCACTAGAATCGGATCGGATGGGTATTCACACCTATGTGATCCGATTCTGCACATCGCACCGCGTTTTGCAGACCACTTTCGGGGTGTTGTGAATGTAACATACACACCCGCAGTGGTTCGCACGAACGGGGGACAATTCTGATGCGGCGCGGAATTCGCACAGAAAACGCTGCGAATTCCACACCGCATCAGTGTGAACCCGGGCTAACGGTCCATTCACACTGTACTTCTAAATACAAAAAAGAACACCAGTTACCTTGTCAGAATTCTTGTGCTGGTGTTCAGGAGCATTAACATTTATAAGCATTTTGACAAGAAAACATTAAGGGGGGAATACCAGGCATCAGCATTTAGCGTTTTTTTTTTTTCTGCCAGAAAAACGCTTTCAAGGGTTTTTGTTCTGCCTCTAAACGCCGAGCTTCACCTCTTCACGCCGGCCGAACGCAAATGTGTGGCCTCCTGCTGTCTGGGCCTAGACGCCGAGCGGCCGCACATTTGCATTCTCTTAAAAAAGGACGTATGTGCCGAGGGTGCGCGTTCCCAGCACACATGTCTGGTACTCACGGAAAGGTCCCGATCTCCACTTTCGATCGGGACCTTTCCCGATCATGTGACCGCCATGACGGCGAATCACAGCGGTCACATGACCCTAAAACCCCTCCCGGCTTCTGAAACTCTTAAAGGCCTGGGAGGCGCCGGTGTGAAGGGGTTAAAAAACACCTCTAGACTACCTAATGTGCACATACACATAGGATAACATTAGATGCTTCTAGAGGCATTAAAAAAAAATCTCAAAACACCTCTAGGAGCAGCGTTTTTTTAAGCCAGTGTGCATTGACCTTTACCCTAGGTTCACATCTGTACGGGTGGGTGCCGCTGCAGATCCGCACGAAAATCCGTGCAGGCGCACCACCCGTACAGAGAGTTGCGGACCTGCGGGTGGGAGCCATTAGTTCTAATGGTACGCCGCCCGCACTGGAAAACGCAACCATGCTGGGAATCGAGGTTCCAGTGCGGATTGCGTTTTCCAAAGTAGTGCAGGGACTTCTTTCCCTGCGTGGCACGGGAGTCCATTCAAATGAATGGGTTCTCGTGCCCGTGCAAAATGCAGCCTGCACGGTCGCAGAGGTGTGAACCGGGGGTAACAGAAAGAGACAATGAACTAAGAGAACTAAGGTAAGAGAAAGAGACAAAGAGGAATGCGGACCCCCGGGCAGGTGCCATTAGTTCTAATGGCAGTCCGCCCGCACTGGGAAAAAGCAACCGTACTGGGAACCGAGGTTCCTGTGCGGGCTGCGTTTTCCAAAGTAGTGCAGGGACTTCTTTCCTTGCGTGTCACGGGCACTGGAGTACATTCAAATGAATGGGCTCTCGTGCCCGTGCAAAACGCAGCCCGCAGGGCCGCATAGGTGTGAACCGGGGGTTAGGGCTGGTTCACACTATAGAAACTCAGTCTGGATGAGTTTCTGCATGTGCATTTTTGATGCGTTCCGGTGCGTTTTTTTATGCATTCTCGATGCCTTGTTCCCTCCTTTTTGGGTCAGTACATTTTTTATGCATTTCAGTGCGATTTTGATACGTTTTACCACGTTCCAGTACAGTTCTGTGCAGAAAAAAATTCAGCACGTTCTGCTTTTTTTTTTTCTGGAACCAGAACGCACTGACACTGCATGCACTGGTGTGAACCATGCCATTGACAACCATGTAACCTACTTTCTGTCCGTTTTATTATTATTATTTATTATTATTATACAGGATTTATATAGCGCCAACAGTTTGCTCAGCGCTTTACAATATAACGGGAGACAATACAGCAACAATACAGTTCAATACAAGAGGGAAGGGAGGGCCTGATCCTTGGAGCTTACAATCTAGGAGGGAGGGGCTAGTGGTACAAAAGGTAGTAACTGTTTGGGGATGGCCTGCTAGGAGGAATAGAAGATTCCATTATTAGCTGAGGGCAGGATAGGCTTCCCTGAAGAGAGAGGTTTTCAGAGATCACCTAAAAGTGAGCAGAGTAGGCGATAGTCTGATAAATTGGGGTAGAGAGTTCCAGAGGATGGGGGAAGCTCTGGAGAAGTCCTGGAGATGAGCATGGGAGGAGAGACAAGGGAGCTAGAGAGTAGGAAAAGAAACACACACCCCTCGTAATATGTTTGTTAACTGTGCATGTACCCCCCCCCCCTAAAGCTGAAAACCCTTTCGATGCGAACCAACTGCTAATTTCAGGCGAACTGCGTTTGCTGTACATATATGAGAGGTGTTTTACTTGACACAGGATTTGTTGAAGCCTATCCAGTCCTGAGATTTACCCTGCTCCGCCACATTTCTGGGCAGTTTTACAACCAATGTCACCCAGCCCATTGCTCTCTTGCTATAAGTTTGTATTTCCCTTATTGACACTGAAGGCAATACAGTTCCATGCTGAGATGTAACCGCATCCAGGTTGAATCAGCACAAAAATTTACTGACTTGACCTAGACTATTGTAATGTAAGAAATGTCCCTTGCCTCTAAAGCCTGCTGACTGACGGTGATATCCTCACATCTGGATCTGATTACATGCGTAGTTATTTTTGGCTGCTGACTGTGCAGTTTGGCTGAGCTTTGGAGGAGAACCAGCGATGTATTTCTAGTTTCTGGGCCGGGCGGCTGGCGGAGACCCCATAGCCGCGTTCCCAGAGGAAAACACCACCGATCTGAACTTCTTGGAAAGCAAATGTCAAAACACAGCCTTTGGGGGAAAAAACATTTGTTTCTTACGCCGTTCTCAGCATGGTCTGCGTTTTTTTTTTTTTTTTTGCTCGGAATACTTTTTGACTAGTTAGCGTCTTGAAAACAATGCCTGAGATTCTAACACAGAAGGTAACACAACGCTGTAGCGAACAGAAGTGACCATTTCAGTTGGCGTCGTCCTGGATTTGTACTTTTCCTTGAAAGGCACTTGTTTTGGGTAAGACTTCATGGTATGTTTTATGACTGATGGCTAAAATTCTCAGCCATTGTTGTAGGAATCCGATGTCAGTATACTGTTGTTGGTGCAGGCCATTACGATAGGAACCAAGTGTCAGGGTGCCATTTCTATAGGAACCCAACTGTCTTTTGTGTCCTTGCTGTAGCAAACCAGCCTTGTGCCCTTGTTTTAGGAACCTCTCAGTGCTTGTTGAAGAGACTCAGCTGTCAATGTTCCCCTGTTGTAGGGACCCAGCTGTCAGTGTTGTTGTAGGGAATCCTGTCAATTGTTGTAGGGACCCAGCTGTCAATGTGCCCTTGTTGTAGCCCAGCTTGTGCCATTGTTGAGGGACCAGCTGTCAATGTGCCCTTGTTGTAGGGACCCAGCTGTCAATGTGCCCTTGTTGTAGGGACCCAGCTGTCAATGTGCCCTTGTTGTAGGGACCCAGCTGTCAATGTGCCCTTGTTGTAGGGACCCAGCTGTCAATGTGCCCTTGTTGAAGAGACCAGCTGTCAATGTGCCATTGTTGAAGAGACCCAGCTGTCAATGTTCCCCTGTTGTAGGGACCCAGCTGTCAATGTGCCCTTGTTGTAGGGACCCAGCTGTCAATGTGCCCTTGTTGTAGGGACCCAGCTGTCAGTGTGCCCTTGTTGAAGAGACTCAGCTGTCAATGTGCCCTTGTTGTAGGGACCCAGCTGTCAATGTGCCCTTGTTGTAGGGACCCAGCTGTCAGTGTGCCCTTGTTGTAGGGACCCAGCTGTCAGTGTGCCCTTGTTGAAGAGACTCAGCTGTCAATGTGCCCTTGTTGTAGGGACCCAGCTGTCAGTGTGCCCTTGTTGAAGAGACTCAGCTGTCAATGTGCCCTTGTTGAAGAGGCTCAGCTGTCAATGTGCCCTTGTTGCAGGGACCCAGCTGTCAATGTGCCCTTGTTGTAGGGACCCAGCTGTCACTGTCCCTTGTTGTAGGGACCCAGCTGTCAATGTGCCCTTGTTGTAGGGACCCAGCTGTCAATGTGCCCTTGTTGCAGGGACCCAGCTGTCAATGTGCCCTTGTTGAAGAGGACCCAGCTGTCAATGTGCCCTTGTTGTAAGGACCCAGCTGTCAATGTGCCCTTGTTGAAGAGACCCAGCTGTCAATGTGCCCTTGTTGTAGGGACCAGCTGTCAATGTGCCCTTGTTGTAGGGACCCAGCTGTCAATGTGCCCTTGTTGTAGGGACCCAGCTGTCAATGTGCCCTTGTTGTAGGGACCCAGCTGTCAATGTGCCCTTGTTGTAGGGACCCAGCTGTCAATGTGCCCTTGTTGTAGGGACCCAGCTGTCAGTGTGCCCTTGTTGAAGAGACTCAGCTGTCAATGTGCCCTTGTTGTAGGGACCCAGCTGTCAATGTTCCCTTGTTGTAGGGATCCAGCTGTCAATGTGCCCTTGTTGTAGGGACCCAGCTGTCAGTGTGCCCTTGTTGAAGAGACTCAGCTGTCAATGTGCCCTTGTTGAGGGACTCAGCTGTCAATGTGCCCTTGTTGTAGGGACCCAGCTGTCAATGTGCCCTTGTTGTAGGGACCCAGCTGTCAGTGTGCCCTTGTTGTAGGGACCCAGCTGTCAATGTGCCCATTGTTGAAGAGACTCAGCTGTCAATGTGCCCTTGTTGCAGGGACCCAGCTGTCAATGTGCCCTTGTTGTAGGGACCCAGCTGTCAATGTGCCCTTGTTGTAGGGACCCAGCTGTCAGTGTGCCCTTGTTGAAGAGACTCAGCTGTCAATGTTCCCCTGTTGCAGGGACTCAGCTGTCAATGTGCCCTGTGCTGCAGGGACCCAGCTGTCAATATGCCCTTGTTGTAGGGACCCAGCTATCAATGTTGTTGAAGAGACTCAGCTGTCAATGTGCCCTTGTTGTAGGGACCCAGCTGTCAATGTTCCCTATTGTAGAAAACCAGCTATTAATGTGCCCTTGTTGAAGGGACTCAGCTGTCAATGTGCCCTTGTTGCAGGGACTCAACTGTTAGTGTGCCTTTGTTGCAGGGACCCAGCTGTCAATGTGCCCTTGTTGTAGGGATTCAGCTGTCAATGTGCCCTTGTTGTAGGGACCCAGCTGTCAATGTGCCCTTGTTGTAGGGATTCAGCTGTCAATGTGCCCTTGTTGTAGGGACCCAGCTGTCAATGTGCCCTTGTTGTAGAGACCCAGCTGTCAATGTGCCCTTGTTGTAGGGACCCAGCTGTCAATGTGCCCTTGTTGTAGGGACCCAGCTGTCAATGTGCCCTTGTTGTAGGGATTCAGCTGTCAATGTGCCCTTGTTGTAGGGATTCAGCTGTCAATGTGCCCTTGTTGTGGGACCAGCTGTCAGTGTGCCCTTGTTGCAGGGACCCAGCTGTCAATGTGCCCTTGTTGTAGGGATTCAGCTGTCAATGTGCCATTGTGGGATTCAGCTGTCAATGTGCCCTTGTTGAAGGGACATAGATATCAATGTGCCCTGCCCTTGGTCCAGGGACACAGCTGTCAAGTGTGCCCTTGCTGAAGAGACTCAGCTGTTCGTGTGCCTTTGTTGCAGGGATTCATCTGTAAATGTGCCCGTGTTGAAGAGACTCAGCTGTCAATGTGTCCCTGTTGTAGGGACCCAGCTGTCATTGTTCCCTTGTTGAAGAGACTCGGCTGTCAATGTGCCCTTGTTATAGGGACTAAGATGTCAATGTTCCTTTGTTGAAGAGACTCAGCTATTAGTGTACCTTTGTTGTAGGGACTCCGCTGTCAATATGCCCTTGTTGAAGAGACTCAACTGTTAGTGTGCCTTTGTTGTAGGGACCCAGCTGTCAATGTGCCCTTGTTGTAGGGACCCAGCTGTCAATGTGCCCTTGTTGTAGGGACCCAGCTGTCAATGTGCCCTTGTTGCAGGGACCCAGCTGTCAATGTGCCCTTGTTGCAGGGACCCAGCTGTCAATGCCCTTGTTGTAGGGACCCAGCTGTCAATGTGCCCTTGTTGTAGGGACCCAGCTGTCAATGTGCCCTTGTTGTAGGGACCCAGCTGTCAATGTGCCCTTGTTGTAGGGACCCAGCTGTCAATGTGCCCTTGTTGCAGGGACCCAGCTGTCAGTGTGCCCTTGTTGCAGGGACCCAGCTGTCAATGTGCCCTTGTTGTAGGGACCCAGCTGTCAATGTGCCCTTGTTGCAGGTACCCAGCTGTCAATATATTAATAGTAAAAAGGTCCAGTCTGAGCATGTAGGCCCTTTACAAAATAATCTAGAGTGGGTGGCTGGGGACAAAAAAAGGCAAATTTATTAAATCCCTTCTTCAGCTCTGTGTATACAAAGGAGCATGGGGGAGCTCTTGTCCATAATGGGCATGGTACTGACACAGCTCCAGATGATCCACATTGGCTCACAGTTGATATGATCCAGAAATATTTAGGCAGAATAAAGGTGAATAAAGCCCCTGGACCCGGATGGCATACACCCACGGGGTCCTTAAAGAATTGAGCTCTGTCATTTCAAAGCCATTGTTTCTCATTTTTAGGGACTCTTTAATGACTGGCATAGTACCACTGGTTTGGCGTAAGGCCAATGTGGTGCCAATATTTAAAAAGGGGTCAAAATCTTTACCAAGTAATTATAGACCTATAACTTCTATAGTTGGGAAGATACTGAAGAGTTTAATAAAAGACCACATAGATGAATTCTTGCTGGAAAAAATATTTTAAGCAACAGACAGCATGGATTCATGAAAGATAAAAGTTGTCAAACAAATCTGATTTCTTTTTATGAGGGGGTGAGCAAATCCATGGACAGGGGGGTGGCAGTGGACGTAGTATACTTGGACAGAGGGTGGTGGTGAACATGGTATACTTGGACAGGGGGGGTGGCAGTGGACTTGGTATACTTGGACAGAGGGGTGGCGGTGGATGTGGTATACTTGGACAGAGGGGTGGCGGTGGACGTGTATATAGTTGGACAGAGGGGTGGCGGTGGACGTGATATAGTTGGACAGAGGGGTGGCGGTGGACGTGATATAGTTGGACAGAGGGGTGGCGGTGGACGTGGTATACTTGGACAGAGGGGTGGCGGTGGAGGGGTGGCGGTGGACGTGGTATACTTGGAAAGAGGGGTGGCGGTGGACGTGGTATACCTGGACAGAGCGGTGGCTGTAGACGTGGTATACTTGGACAGAGGGGTGGCGGTGGACGTGGTATACTTGGACAGAGGGGTGGCGGTGGACGTGGTATACTTGGACAGAGGGGTGGTGGTGGATGTGGTATACTTGGACAGAGGGGTGGCGGTGGACGTGGTATACTTGGACAGAGGGGTGGCGGTGGACGTGGTATACTTGGACAGAGGGGTGGCGGTGGACGTGGTATACTTGGACAGAGCGGTGGCTGTAGACGTGGTATACTTGGACAGAGGGGTGGCGGTGGACGTGGTATACTTGGACAGAGGGGTGGCGGTGGACGTGGTATACTTGGATTTTACAGAAGCGTTTGACACAGTGAAGACATGTACAATATATGTTTCCTGATTGCACAGTACAAGATATAGGCTTTTATAAATCATTACAACTGGAAACTGTCCAAAAAAAAAAGAAAAAAAAAACTGATGAAAAATCTGCATCTAACCCCTCCCACTCCCAGCTAGCCCAAGTTTCTCATTAGTATCCTTAGTTGATGGACCCCTTCTCTCTACTAAGAAGGCAATTCTTAGATAGAGATATTTTTTTTCCCTGGATTTTTGCTCCAAATCGATTCTCCAATGAAGATATGGCTGCATCATAGCCACTGTGGTTCTTTATCCAGCTTCCGAATCAGTTGACTCCTTGGCAGAGCCAATGAGAATACACACGGTCAGCCAGTAATGTTGCTGTTGCACTGGATCCTGCTGGGAGTGGTGACCTTAGCTCTTAGTGCCAAATGTGAAGTTAGCCCCAAAGTGATTTTTAGGCCTAGGGCCATAGTCTGTCTATAGCCTTGTCAATTGTTTGCTTGTCATTGTGGTGGTAGACCAGGTAAATTGCTCCCCATTTTTTATTTTGGCTCCATTGCCCCTTTACGAGGGTGACTCATGTGTTGGTGCAGACCTGCTGCATCTGCGAATGTGCCGTCCAGAGCACTCACTGCGCCTGCACCTGTGCCACCTCACCTCTGAGGACTTGCTGCTCCTGCACTCCCCCACCTCTTTCCCCTTTGGACAAGAACTCTAAGCCTGCAACATCTTCTCTTTTGGGCACATAGGTGATTTCATTTGCAATACCTGGTTTTGAAGCAGCCTACAGGTGGATGACACAGAGGCATTCCCCAATCTCCATTACCACTGTAGAGTTGTGAGTATTCAAGAGCATGGCAGGTCAGTTGGACTTGCTAGCTCAGGCTTAGCCTTTAGTCCAGTTGGGGGGTGGTAGTTCCTCTTTTTAAAAACCCCTAGTACCCTTTTCTTCTGACTCTCTGCCTTCCTCAGGTCTATCAGCCGGTCCTCCATGCACTCCAGTTTCTTTGTTTCCTATCTAGAGTGGAATTTTCAGCCACAATATTTGATTCCATGGCCAGAATTTCTGGCTTTATTGAGGCCATAAACTTCAGGGATCACAACTGTGCCCCCCCCCCCTCCAGCCTTCCCACCTAATTCAGCCTTTGATTTCCCCCTTAAGCCAGGCATAGTTCATGTGGAGAAGGCAAATATTGTATTTTAGTATTTGGATTTTAACCAAGCTAAAGAAAACTTCAGATACTCTTAATGACTTCATATGCTGTCCATTACTTAAGTTCCTTAAATCAGCCAAGACCTTCCTAGACCACCCACTGGTAGAACCCGTCCTGCAGGGACTGGCCTTACCTGAAAAATATTTTTTTCTCTTCCAAAACATTTTGCGTTTTGGCCAGCAATATCTCATTGTGGAATGTTTCCTGCTGTAAGTAGGTGCTTCCTGTGGTAGATCCTGACTTAATAAGCTCTTTACAGTCCTGGTGGAGGATAATTTCAGTGTTCAAAGACCCAGTAGATAAAAGATTAAATGAACTCTTTAAAGTTCTCTTTTCTTTGAAAGGCCCCACCATGAGGTTGCTTTTATGACAGTCTGTCATACTATTGCAAAATGCTTTCCCCGTGAGCCCAGTCCCATCCTGAAGGATGTCTTTATCCACAGCCAGTTGGACCTTTTACCAACGGCTTTGAGTCTTCCCTCTATTCATACATATACGGTTCTCTGGCTTAATTGTTGGATTGCTAGCTCTCATGCAGGAAATGCCTTGAGTGGCTACCCTTTGAAGGCAAACACCTATTTTGTCCTTCCTTGATACCTATGTCAGGGAAATTACAGGGGCAAGAGTGCTCTTCTTCCCCTGAGGAAAAAAGTTTGCACCTCGACTACTAGAGCTTCTACGATTGAGGTTAGGAAGGGTTCCTTTCAAAGCTAAGTGTAAGATAGAAGCGCATTTTCGAAAGAAGAAATAGATGCCAGTCTGTCGGGCTCGGGTGCAGTCCTGGACAGCCTCTCAATGCCGGGGACGTTGTTCTCGGAGGAAATTCACCTTGCTATCAACATTTTGGAATATTCTGGGCAATTCGGTTGTCTTTTCATCGCTGGATTCAACTTTTGCCACGACATCCAATGGGAATGCAGTCAGCCAGTTCCACAGCCATGATCTGCATCAACAGTCAAGAAGATACTGGAAGTCTCAACACACAAAAAGAAATAGACTCAATCCTCTCTTGAGCAGAACTGCACAATATGGCCCTGTCCACCGTCCATATACCAGGGATGGAAAATTGGAAGTTGGATCCAGGGAATGGGCCTTCCATCCCAAAGTTTTTCAAGCCCTTTGTCATAGATGGTGATGCTGGATATGGATTTACTGGCATTCAGATTCAATAACAAACTGGACAGATTTGTTGCCAGGTCCAAGGGACCCTTGGTCCTTTGCATTGGATGCTCTGGTCACTCTGCGGGATTAGTTCAGACGGATCTGTGTCTTTCCACCCCTGTAGCTTCTTCCTTGCCTGCTTTGCAAGATTGATGATTCCGATGATTCTCATAGTATGTAATTGGTCTAGGATCTAGAATGCTGTACTCAGACATACTCAGACCCCTGATAGATGCTTTGCAGGCCCTTGCAGATCATCCAGGGCCAAGGGCCAATGTCCCATCCTGCTTATCGGTCGCTGGCTTTATTGGCATAGCTGTATGCTGTCTTTCTTCCAGTCTTGTCTAGACCATCATCTGCCTGAAGGGTCAAAGGCTGGTCTAGGCTGTTCTGTTTCAGAGATTTCTGGCCTCACACTCTCTTGTTAAAAACAAAAATATGGTGGCTACACATCTCTGAATTAGTGACCTTATCCTGTAAGAAACCCTTCTTAGGCCCCAAGTACACGGGACACTTCTGAACAAAGGAAACTGCTGGAAAATGTAAGTTAAAAAAAGTCTGTTTAGCCACGTTTATGGCGTTTTGTTTAGAGCCATTTTTTAAAGATAAGCACAGGAGAACCTCCCAAATGCCCAGAATGCACTGAAAAGTGGCAAATTATTAACTATTTCAGACTGTTTCATTGATATACGGAGAGTAGAAGCAGAGACAGCAGTAGGTATTGAGATTAGCTTAGGTGTGAGTTGCTCATTAACATTTCTTTTGTTTCCAAGGGTGGGAAAGGTGTCTGCTGGAGGGAGTCATTAAGGCCACCTGGCAGGGGGTCTTCATGAGGACTTTGAGGTGTGAATGGTCATTAACATATCTTTTGTTTCCAAGGGTGGGAGAGGTCTGAGGTGTTAATTGGTCATTACAATGTGTGACCAGCTTGGTAGGAGCATCCTGTGTTCAGTTTTTTGTCCATTTGAATACCTTGAAATCGCTTTGCATGCATTTTTCATGATGAAAAAAGGATCTGGACAGCATCGGATCTAGTGCTGCCAGGCAGAAGTTCTATCCACTTTACATGGGTCTCAAAAACTGGCGGCCCTCCAGCTGTTGCCAGACTACAAGTCCCATGAGGCATTGCAAGATTGACAGTTACAAGCATGATTCCCAAAGGCAGAGGCATGATGGGAATTGTAGATTCTCAACAGCTGGAGGGCCGCAAGTTTGACACCCTGTAGCCAATGTGCTGTTAGTCAAGTGCATCTAAATCTGCTGGTGCATCTAACATTACCCTCTTCCCAGATTGACAATCCTGCTGTCCAAAGGTGTCTTCATTGCTTGTCCATCTAGAGGGGACACCCCAACACAGGAGGCTTGTTACTGGCTCAATCACAGGTGAAAATAAAGGGAAAAAGTAAAACTAATGTGACCATCATATGTAAGGATTGGTTAGCTGCAATATTCACATTTTGTTTTAGGGTTTAATACAGCTTTAAGGCCTTTCTTCAGGGTGTAACTCACATCTCTCCTCCTGTCCAGAATCCTGAGTCCTGCGGAGCCTCAGTCTGGTTCTCTCAACTCTGCAGAAGCCGCCATTGAACCCAATTAGTAATATTCCATTGTCAGATCTTACACATAAGTTGGCTTTTCTTGTTTGTTATTACATCTGCAAAAAAAAAAAAAAAAAGAGTCTCTGAATTATTATTATTATACAGGATTTATATAGCACCAACAGTTTGCGCAGCACTTTACAATATAAGGGAGACAATACAATTACAATACATTTCAGTACAGAAGGAATAGGAGGATGGAGCTTACAATCTAAAGGAAGGGGGAGGTGATACAAAAGGTGATAACTGCGGGGGATGATATGGTGAAGGTGATTCAAGTACAGTTCTTAGGTGGAGGTGGAGTAGGCTTCCCTGAATAAGTGAGTTTTCCAAGATCGCCTAAAGGCAGAGTGGGGGCTGACCGGACATGCTGTGGAGGGAGTTCCAGAGGATGGGGAGGCTCTGGAGAAGTCCTGGAGGCGAGCGTGGGAGGAGGTGATGAGGGAGCTAGAGAGGAGGATATCATGGGAGGAGCGGAGTGGGCGATTTGGGTGGTATCTGTGGATGAGGCTGATGATGTAGCTAGGGGCAGTGTTGTGGATGGCTTTGTAAGCTGTGCTTAGTATTTGGAATTTTATATGTTGGGTTAGTGGAAACCAGTGGAGGGATTGGCAGCTAGGGGTGGAGGACACTGAATGGAGGCCAGTGAAGGGATTGGCAGAGAGGGGTGGAGGACACTGAATGGAGGCCAGTGGAGGGATTGGCAGAGAGGGGTGGAGGACACTGAATGGAGGCCAGTGAAGGGATTAGCAGAGAGGGGTGGAGGACACAGAATGGAGGCCAGTGAAGGGATTGACAGAGAGGGGTGAAGAACTCTGAATGGAGGCCAGTGAAGGGATTGGCAGAGAGCGGTGGAGGACACTGAGTGGAAGCCAGTGAATGGATTTGCAGAGAGGGGTGGAGGACACTGAATGGAAGCCAGTGAAGGTATTGGCAGAGAGGGGTGGAGGACACTGAATGGAGGCCAGTGAAGGGATTGGCAGAGAGCGGTGGAGGACACTGAATGGAAGCCAGTGAAGGGATTGGCAGAGAGGGGTGGAGGACACTGAATGGAGGCCAGTGAAGGGATTGCAGAGAGGGGAGGAGGACACTGAATAGAGGCCAGTGAAGGGATTGGCAGAGAGGGGTGGAGAACACTGAATGAAGGCCAGTGAAGGGATTGGCAAAGAGGGGTGGAGGACACTGAATGAAGGCCAGTGAAGGGATTGGCAGAGAGGGGTGGAGGACACTGAATGGAGGCCAGTGGAGGGATTGCAGAGAGGGGTGGAGGACACTGAGTGGAGGCCAGTGGAGGGATCTCTGCAGAGTCTGGAAAGGCTCTGTGACGTCAGCTGACAATGGGTTTTAGCCTTCTGTCATCTGAATCTGGTTCACAGGGGTGTATTACTGAGTGCACTCCTGTGACCCACAGGAGAATTACGGCCAACAGAGCTTTGGCCATACTTCTCCTTTAAGGTCCTACAAGCTGATCTCTGAGTCTGCTAAGCCATCTAGACCCATTTTTATGTTATGTGGGCCTGTTGGCGTTGTTTGCAATGTTGCCCATCCCTCAGTTGGACTGCTTTTGGACTCCCCAGTCATAATGCTTTAACCACTTAAGAGCCGCCCCTTAGCAGATATTGATTTTTAAAATTATTTTACTGGACATGTTTAACCATTTCAATACCGGGCAATTTTACACCTTCCTGTCCAGGCCAGTTTTCAGGTTTCAGCGCTCTCACACTTTGCATGACAATTGTGCAGTCATACAACATTGTACCCAAACTAAAATTTTATCATTTTCTTCACACAACTAGAGCTTTCTTTTGTTGGTATTTAATCACCGCTGGGGTTTTTATTTTTTGCTAAATTAACCAAAAAAAGACCAAAAATGTTGAAAAAAAACACGTTTTTCTTTGTTTCTGTTATAAAAGTTTGCAAATAAATAATTGTTCTTCATAAATTTAGGCCGAGATGTATTCTGCTACATGTCTTTGGTGAAAATAACCCAAATTAGGATGTATTTTTTAGTTTGTAGAAAAGTTATAGAGTTCACAAACTATGGTATAGATCTGAATATTGATCAATCCTGAAGTACTGACAGCCAATCTCATTTCTTGAGGTCCAAGAATGTCAGAACAGTCCAGATATCCCCAAATGTCAGGACAGTACAGATATCCCCCAAATGTCAGGACGGTACAGATATCCCCCAAATGTCAGGACAGTACAGATATCCCCCAAATGTCAGGACAGTACAGATATCCCCCAAATGTCAGGACAGTACAGATATCCCCCAAATGTCAGAACGGTACAGATATCCCCCAAATGTCAGAACAGTACAGATATCCCCCAAATGACCCCTTTTTGCAGAGTAGACAGTCCGACGTACTTCATAGAGGAATGGCGAGTTTTTTGAAGTTGTATTTTTTTTGTCATAATTGTTCGGAAAATTAAAAAATTAAAAAAATTAGTTTCACTATTTTTTTTTTACATACTGTCACCAGTGCAGTACAGCGTCATCATATAACTGGCATGGCGGTGATCAGGGACACTGACTGGTGACAGTATGAAAAAAAAATATATATATATTTTTTTATTATTATTTTTTATTAAAAAATTTTTTTCTTTTTTTCAGATTTTTTTTTCATATTTCACTATGACCAAAGTAGTACAATGTTACCATAGTAACATTGTACTACTTTGGGAAAGTGATCAGTATTTTTTTTTTTTTACACAATTTGCTTGTAGCAAAGAATTACTTTGCTATAAGCAAGCATTTACCTGAATGACATCGATTCATTCAGGGTTTTTTTTTTTTTTGTACTTAGCTGTGATTTGGCCACAGCTAATCACATGACATGTGCATGTGATTAGCAGTGACCATTCACAGCTAGACACTAGTATACAATGGATGGCATGAATGAAGCCGTCCATTGTATACAACTGTCATGTGACCTGCTTTGATTGGTCACAGCAGGTCACATGGTACCGGCAACGGGGGCCGATACTCAAATCTGTCATCGGCCGTGTCCGAGGTACACCGCCGGTGACAGATTGCGCGGCTCTGCAGGAGCGCAATCTGCGCATGTGCGGGGAGGACGCCATATGGCGTCCACCCGGAACGCTGACGACATTTGCCGCCCACCATTCGGCCATAGGGCGGGCGGCAAATGGTTAATAGCAAAAAGGCAAAAATATTGTTTTTTTTTCTCAAAATTGTGGTCTTTTTTTTGTTTATGGCACAAAAAATAAAAACCGCACAGGCGATCAAATACCACTGAAAGAAAGCTCAATTCATGGGAAAAAATGACATAAATTTCATTTGGGTGCAGAGTTGCAATTGTCAGTTAAAGTAATGCAGCGCCGTAATGCAAAAAATGGCCTGGTCAGGAAGGGGGGGGGGGGATCCTCTGGAGGGCAAGGGGTTAAAGCGATTGTACACCTCAGACATGTGATATGAACAAAGCATATCCCTCAATAGTTTGTAATTGTCTCAATCCAGAGCACTAAGTGTCATTTCTGTCTGCTGCCCTTTCCTCTGCTATCCTCATGATTCACTTCTGACAAGTTTTCCAGACACCAAGAGAAAAATGGTGACAGCGGGTGGATCTCCAGCACACAGCCTGTGATTGTGACATCCTCAGCTCTGTGTGGAGGGGGGGGGGGGGGCATGTCTCCCTCCTTCAGTCAACTCTCAGAGCTTTCCTCACTGAGCTCTGCAGTGTGTAATTTCAGCTTTCCGCTCCCTGTTTTAGGACAGCTCAGGCATACGTTATAAATTCTGGACTTTGAAAGGATGTAGAGAAGACTGCAGATAAACAGGTACAACTGATGTAGGAGGATTTGTTTCATCTGTGTATATCACTTCACTGGGTATATGTCAGGGTTTTCAACCACTTTAGTTAATCGTCTACATTAAAGTAAAAAAATGCCTCTTTCCTCCGTCCCCTCTAAACACTTACCTGGCTCCATGTCATTTCTGCAGTGGTGCTCCCCTCGCTTCCTACGTTCACAGGAGAAACTGAGGGCAGCAGAGCAATAGGCTTTTGCTGCCATCAGTCAAACTCCTGTTTTGGAGGTGGGAGTGGAGGTGGGTTTTACTGGTTCTTTGTGTGTCTGAGGATGCACACAGCCTCACAGGACCCAACAGGAACAGGTGTGCTTCCTTAGCACCCGGCTTGCTACAGGAGCAGGGGCAGACTGACCATTTGGAAACTCGGGCACAGCCCGAAGGCCCGGGGTCAATAGGGGGTCCCATGAGATGCCCCTGGTACCTTTTTCATAGGCTTTTTGGGCAAGGACACAGGGGCCCCATGATCCCCTATTGCCTGGGGGCCCCAGGAGTTGTCAGTCCGCCCCTGTACAAGAGGCACCTAAAGGAGGGGATGAACCTACAGCACTGACAGGGACTGTGAAAAGAGGAGGAAAGCGAGCATTCTGTGCATTATCATTGCACAGAGCAGGTGTTACCTCTTTATATGTTCATGTATTTGCTCTTAGATTGTAAGCTCCCAGGATCAGGGCCCTCCTATCCCTCTTGTATTGAACTGTATTGTTGCTGTATTGTCTCCCGTTATATTGTAAAGCGCTCAGCAAACTGTTGGCGCCATATAAATCCTGTATAATAATAATAGTATTTAGTTTTGACTTTAATGTTGCTGCTGTGCGAAGTGGAAATGCACTGAATGTTCACGTTAAGTGCAGGGTTGAATGATGTGTAGTATGGCATGCATTGCGGGTCAGGAAACCCCGTGCTTTATTATAAGACGGCCAGTGCTACTTCATCCTATATGTCATATCTCAGATGTGCCGTTGTCATTCCGATCCTCAGGACTCATTTTTTTTTCGTTTCTCATTTGCTTTGTAGTTACATCTAGAGTGTCCCAGCCATCTTCACCCCAGCCCAGCTGTCCATCACCCCCCATCCCTGCGGGGAAAGTCATCTCTCCATCTCAGAAGCTCAGCAAGAAGGCACTGAAACAGGTAACAGAGGGGATGGGTGGGGAGCTTCACGAGTCACTCCATTTGCATCACCTCCTCGTTTGTCACCATACACTCCATCCATAACGGAATATAGAAAGGAGTACTCTACCTCTGTTGTCACACAAGGTGTACTGACTGTTGATTTACAGACAAGGGTTGATTTATTAAAACTGGAGAGTGCAAAATCTGGTGCAGCTCTGAATAGAAACCAATCAGCTTCCAGGTTTTTTTTTTTTAAAGCGGAGTTCCACTCACCCTGTCAAAAACTAAAAGCAGCTACAAAACTGTAGCTGCTGACTTTTAAAAAAAAACAGCCACTTACCTGTCCCTCGGACCCGTGGTGTGTCCCCCGCAGCCCTTTTCACTGGCCATCCTGGATTCCAGGAGGCCGGCATTTTCAGTGTGGGCATCCGGCTTTGATAGCTTGCAGCTTGTCAAGGTCCTACCTTTGCTCAGGTCTTGTGCTGCTCCATGTGCTGGCATGCATCTTAGGTGTCTGCAAAGCATTGTGGGATCCTTTATGCTTTCAGCCCTCTGCGGCTCCTCCCCCAGGAGGTGGCGGCTTATCACATATAAATCTGCTGTTTGTAGCTGTCCATTGAATTTCTGTCCTGTCTGTTGCACAGCAGCATGCTCCTGTTTAGTTTCTCATTGCTCTCCTGGATACCGACTCGGCTTTGGCAAGACTCCTTCCTGGCTTCTGACCCCGGCTCTGGCGACCATTCTTCCTGGCTTCTGACCCTGGCTCTGGCGACCATCCTTCCTGGCTTCTGACCCCGGCTCTGGCGACCATCCTTCCTGGCTTCTGTCCCCGGCTCTGGCGACCATCCCTCCTGGCTTCTGACCCCGGCTCTGGAGACCATCCCTCCTGGCTTCTGACCCCGGCTCTGGCGACCATCCTTCCTGGCTTCTGACCCCGGCTCTGGCGATCATGCTTCCTGGCTTCTGACCCAGCTCTGGCGACCATCCCTCCTGGCTTCTGACTCCGGCTCTGGCGACCATCCCTCCTGGCTTCTGACCCCGGCTCTGGCGACCATCCTTCCTGGCTTCTGACCCCAGCTCTGGCGACCATCCTTCCTGGCTTCTGACCCCGGCTCTGGCGACCATCCTTCCTGGCTTCTGACCCTGGCTCTGGCGACCATCCTTCCTGGCTTCAGACCCCGGCTCTGGCGACCATCCCTCCTGGCTTCAGACCCCGGCTCTGGCGACCATCCCTCCTGGCTTCTGACCCCGGCTCTGGCGACCATCCTACCTGGATTCTGACCCCGGCTCTGGCGACCATCCTTCCTGGCTTCTGACCCCGGCTCTGGCGACCATCCTTCCTGGCTTCTGACCCCGGCTCTGGCGACCATCCTTCCTGGCTTCTGACCCTGGCTCTGGCGACCATCCTTCCTGGCTACTGTTCTACCAAGTCATCTGCTGTTGGCCTTGCATAGACTCTGTCTTGTTTTTGTATAATAAACCTACCTTTAATTGCACCTTCTTTTGTGTCTGGCTCCTCGCTCCCTGACACAGCTTCACAGCCGGGTACCCACTGCGCATGCGCGAGTAGCGCTGCGCTTCATGAATGGTCCTGTAGTCTTCTGGGACCAGTCACGTGTCCCAAAAGACTACAGGGAGGGAGGACACCTTCGGTTTCCGATCGCCTAGGCGATCGGACCGGAAGTGGGAGCGGGTACCTGTCAAATTCAGGTATCCGCTCCCCCCCCCACACACACACGCACACACACACGTCCCCCCAAAGGTGCCAATCCTTAATGGGGATCGGGGGAACAGTCCTTAAAGCGGAACTTCCCCTTTTGGGAGGAGCTCCGCTTTAAGTTTAATTGACCAAGCTGAAGTTATAAGCTGATTGGCTACCATGCACAGCTGCACCAGATTTTGCACTCTCCAGTTTAGTATATCAACATCTTAAGCCGGCCAGCCGAATTCCAAAATAATTTCCTTTCGAAAATCTTTTCTAAGAATTTCTGTTCGAATTTCGCACCATTAGAGGGCCACAGAAATGGCCGATTTTTGAGTGACCATTGAATTTGAGTGATCAGGCATGTTGGAAATTTTTTGAAAAATGAATGAATTTCTAATCAATATACGTTACAAAATAGCCAGCAACTCATATCCTTGTCATATGCGCTTTATTGGCGCACAGTAGAGGGACATAGAATCCATAAAAGCTGGCGCGTTTCGGCCACAGCCTTTGTCAAAGCTTTGGTAAGCTTTGACAAAGGCTGTGGCTGAAACGCGTCAGTTTTATGGAGTCTATGTCTTCTACTGTGTGCCAATAAAGCATACAGTCAGGTCCATAAATATTGGGACATCGACACAATTCTAACATTTTTGGCTCTATACACCACCACAATGGATTTGAAATGAAACAAACAAGATGTGTTTTAACTGCAGACTGTCAGCTTTATTTGAGGGTATTTACATGCAAATCAGGTAAACGGTGTAGGAATTACAACAGTTTGCATATCTGTCTCCCACTTGTTAAGGGACCAAAAGTAATGGGACAGAATAATAATCATAAATCAAACTTTCACTTTTTAATACTTGGTTGCAAATCCTTTGCAGTCAATGACAGCCTGAAGTCCCAATATTTATGGACCTGACTGTATATGATAAGGATGTGAGTTGCCGGCTATTCTGTAACGTATCTTGGATCTAAAAAATAGCCAGAGCACCAGCGCTCCACTCACATTCCTTTGATGAGCAGTAGAGCTTAGGTGAGTTGTTGACTACGTAATTTCTAATCAATGATGGGAAAATCGTGCAAGAAGTGTAATCGAAAAAGAAATGAGCATAAGCTGCGACTTGGAAAGAAAAGAAAATTCTTTTTTGTAGCAACATGAGGTACAATTAAAGGCTTGGTTGGTTGAATTTCGAAATCAATGGTGGCACCATCGGATTACAAAACGCATGAAATTTCCGATTTTCTGCAGAAAATTTGTTCGGAATTTGACCCATGTATGGCCTGCATTAGAGTAGAATGCAAGACAGACACTCTTCTGTTGTCTGTAGTAGCTAGGTTTCTGTACACACAGGGCCTTTTACTGATAGGGTTCAGCAGTCTGCAGCCATTGGCTCACGAGCCTCAGGTACAGTCATGGCCAAAAATATTGGCACCCCTTCATTTCTGTCAGATAATGCACCACTGCGCCCAGAAAAATTGTTGCAATTAGAAATGTTTAGCTATTCTCATGTTTGTTTGCATTGGTATAACATAAAAAGTAGAGAAACAAAAAGCCAATCTGACACATTCCACGCAAAACCCCAAAAATGGACTGGACAAAATTAATGGCACCTTCGCAAACTTGTAGGAAATAATTGCATTCCACGTGTGTGATGCTCCTGTAATTTGTAATTAAACTCACCTGTATCAGTTACCAGGTGGTGACAATATAGAAATCACACCAGCAACCAGTTAAAATGGTGAAAAATGGACAAAACCCTTCTGTTGTGTGTCTCTGTGTGCCACATGGAGAAGAGAAAGAGCAGCAAAGAATTGTCTGAGGATTTGAGAACAAACATTGTGGAAAAGTATGGACAATCTCAAGGTTACAAGTCCATCTTCAGAGATCTTAATGTTCCTGTGTCCACTGTGCGCAACATTGTCAAGAAGTTTACAGCCCATGGCACTGTAGCTAATTTCCCTGTACATTAACGAAAGAGAAAATGTGATCAAGGATTGTTCGAATGGTGGAAACCAAGAACCTGAATCAACTTCCATACAAATTCAAGCTGACCTTCAGGCACAGGGTACAACTGTGTCAGTTTGCACTATAAGTCACCATCTGAATGAAGAGGGACGCTGTGGTAGGAGACCTAGGAGGACCCCACTGCTGACACAGAAACATAAAAAAAAGCCAGATTGGAGTTTGACAAAACTTACCTGAAGAAGCCAAAATCCTTTTAGGAGAATATGCTGTGGACAGATGAAACACAATGACAGCTTTTGGTAAAGCCCATCATTCTACTGGTTTCAGAAAAAGCAATGAGGCCTTTAAAGAAAAGAATACAGTCCCTACAGTCACACATGGTGGGGGGTCACTGTTGCTTTGGTGCTTCAGGCACTGGATGTCTTGACCGTGTGCATGGCATTATGAAATCTGAAGACTACCAAAAAAATCTGGGGTGCAATGTAGGGCCCAGTGTCAGAAAGTTGTCTCCGTCAGAGGTCATGGGTCTTCCAGCAGGACAATCGCCCAAAGCACACGTCAAAAAGCCCCCAGAAATGGTTTCAGACAAAGCGCTGGAGAGGACTGAACTGGCCAACAATGAGTCCAGACCTCAATCCCATAGAGCTCCTGTGGAGAGATCTCAAACCAGCAGTTGGGAAAAGGAACCCTTCCAATCTGAGAGACCTGGAGCAGTTGGAGAAAGAAGAGCGCTCCAAGATTCTAGTAGAGAGGTGGAAGAACCTCATTGATGGTTACAGGAAGCCATTGATTTCAGTGATTTTTTTCCAAGTGGTGTGCTACCAAATATTACATTGAGGGTGCCAATAATTTTGTCCAGCCCAGTTTTGGGGTTTTGCTTGGAATGTGTCAGATTTGGCTTTTTGTTTCTCTATTTTTTTGTGTCATAGCAATACAAACAAAAGAAATAAAAATGAGAATATTTGTAATTGCAACAATTTTGTGGGTGAAGTGGTGCGTTATCTGACAGAAATGCAGGGGGGGCAATAGTTGTGGCCATGACTGTAGTTGTCAGGTAGCCCTCATCTTGCTGCAAGCAGCCTAGCAGAAGGTGCTGAGTTTCCTGGTGTCTGAGCATTGCATAAGGAATGACTTTTCGCAAGCACATAATAAAACAGAGGAAGTCTAACTTCAGTTTAACTCTAATCTCCCTGGACGTGGACAAGAGAGAAAAAGCGAGCAAAGATTGCAACATACAGCTGTTTCTAAACTGAGTGATACAGATGTTTATTATTTAACTACATGCCGCCCAGCCACTGTACATATACGGCGGCAGGGCGGCACTCGCAGGCAAAACCCCACGTT